AATTATACTCTTGAAAGGGATTTTGAAGGCAGGGAGAAATAAAGCGAAGGGAAGAAAATTCCAAGGCACAAAGACATAGTGTCTGAAGGCTTGGTCACCAATGGTGGAATTGAGGGAGTGAGGGATAATCAATAGACCAAAATTGGATGAGCAAAGAGTAACAATAATAATTTTATATAGTGCCTTTTTCATGTCCCTCAAGACTTCTCAAACAACTTTACTGTAAAGTGATGTGACTGTGTATATTTTGTGGATGAATGTAGCAGCCAATATGCACGCAGCAACATCCCACAAACAGCCATGGAGCGAGTAACCAATTTTTTTATTTGGGAGACTGTTGGCCAGAACACTGGGAGAAACGCCCTTCTCTTTTCGAGTAAGGTTAAAGGAGATTACTTAGGTCAGAAAGTCAGAGACCAAGTCTTGATTTGAAGCTTAGTTCAATGATCATACAATCAATGCACTGGAGCTTGATAAGTAAAACGCAACATACTGCAGATGCTGGAAATCTGAAACCTTTTGATGAAGGGTCATGGACCCGAAACTTTGACTCACTTTCCTTTTTCCATAGATGCTGCCTGATCTGCTGAGTGTTCCCAGTGACTTCTGTTTTGTGCCTGATAGGTACGTGGGTAGCCTGGTACAGGAAAATGTACAGTTATGACCCTAACTCCTTTAGCACCTCCTGGATCTGGTTCAGAGTTTCAACGATCTGGGAAAAACAGAGGATAAATTCCAGTTTCTTCATGACGTTGTAATTGGGCACAGAACTGGTTTCATTACAGTGAACCTTTTGGGGAGGAAGGAAATGCACGTTTGCAAAAAGTACAATACTATCATTAAAACCAATACTGAAAAGGAACCAATGAGGATCTGCAGTCAGCTTGTCACGTGCAACAGATGTGACCAAAAGGATACTGTACTACATTAAGAGAGTGAATCAAACACAGTACATAACTTTTAGTAATTTCTAAATAAGTTTGTATAACAGAGGAAAAGAGTTTTTTGTTGTGCTGCTCTAACTATCCTATTTTTCTGCTCAGCAAACTAATTAACAATTTGGTGTCAGCCTGGCTCAGTTGATAGCACCCTAGCCTCTTAGTCAAAAGGTTTTAGGTTCATTCCCCATGTTGGGACTTTGAGCTCATAGTCTACACTGCGAATCCAGTGCAGTGCAGGGAGAGCACGCATTGTTGGAATTTTCATTACCTGGACGAGATGTTAAACTCCCACTCCCAGCATGGGTGGCTATCCAACACCATAAAGAGCTTTAAGACAATATGAAAGGGAGGATATAAATGTATTGTATTGTTTGGGTGTGCATTAACAACAACAAGATTACATTTGTATAGCGCCGATGGCATGGTCAAAGAGGAGGGTCTTGAGGCAGGACTTGAAGGAGGCTAAGGAGGGGGCGAGGCAAAGTGACTGGGGGATGGAATTGCAGAGCTTGGGGGCAGAGTGACTGAAGGCTCTCCCGCCAATGGTGGGGCAGGTGGGTCGGGGGGTGTAGAGCAGACCAGAGCCGGCTGAGCGGAGGGAACGGGCAGGTTGGTAAGGGGTTAAGCGGTCACTGTCAGATAGAATTATTCATTCACTTGTGACTGATGGTGGGACATTGCTGTGGGTGGGTGGGGTAAGGCCATGGAGGGTTTTGTATGTGAGGACCAGGATCTTGAACTGGATCCTCTGAAGGATAGGGAGCCAATGGAGTCGGGCGAGAGTGGGGGAGATGGAGTCACAGAGTTTGATGCGGGAGAGGACACGGGCTGCAGAGTTCTGGATTATCTGCAGCCTGTGGATGGAGGAGTTGGGAAGGCTGACAAGCAGGTCATTTGCATAGTCGAGCCTGGAGGTGATGAAGGATGAACAAGATTTTCAGTGGCCTGAGGGGTGAGGTAGTGGTGGAGTTGGGCGATGTTATGGAGGTGAAGGAAGGCAGAGCGGGTCATGGCTTGAATATGGGGGAAAAAAGACAGTTGAGGGTCGAACAAGACACTTAGGTTCCTGACTGTCTTGGTGAGTTATAGTGTGCAACCATGGAGGTTGATGTTGCCTGAGCTGAGGTGCTGAGGCGCTGGCGTGAGCCAATCAGGAAAGTCTCAGTCTCTGTTCACATTCAACTGTAGGAAATTTGTCCTCATCCAGGACTTGATGTCCGACAGACAGTCTGTCAGGACAGCAGTGGTCCTGGAGTTGAGGGTGAGGCAGAAAGATAGAGTTGGGTGTCATCCGCATACATGTGTACGTTGACCCCATGTCTGCGGATGATGTCACCACTTTCGTGCCATTCATAACATCCAGGCATGATGACACAAACTCCCTGCAGCCCAGGTCCTCTCCTGAACTAGGCTCCTTGACACTATCACCCCTATCCTCACCCAACTCCACTGGCTTTCCATCACACAGAGGATGCAGTCCAAGATCCTGATCCTCACTTCCAAAGCCCTCCATGGCTTTCCTCCCCTCTACCTCTGCGATCTCCTAACCCCCTACCGAACGGCCTGCTCCCTCCACTCAATGAGTTCCGGCCTGCTTCACATTCCCCCCTTGGCCTGCCCCACTATTCAGGGTCTTCAGCCACTCTGCTCCACCTTCTAGAACTCCATCGCGCAGTCCCTCCACCTCACCCCTTTGCTTCCCTCCATCAAGACCCATCTCAAGACCTCCTCTTTGACCATGCCTTCAGTCACCCTCCTTCCCCCTCTGCCCTCCACCCTCTCCAATCCCGACCCCCAGCTCGGGTCCAAAACACTGATTGTCCAGCTCCTTGGGATGTCCTCCCAACGTAAATGGCGATATACAAATGTAATTTGTTGTTCTTCTTCACAGCAAATTTTGTGAAGTGCTTTGGGACGTCCTTCCGACGTGAAAGGCACTAGAACAAATGCAGGAATTATTATTATTTATTATTATTAAACTCTGTATGGGCTGTATTTAGTGGTAAAATACAATCATAGAAATTACAGCATAGAAGGAGGTCATTTAAGTCATCAAGATTTCCCTATGGTTAGCTCCTTAACTGGAGCTAGTCTAGCTCAATAACCTAATCTTGGAGTCCTGTAGCTCAGTGGTTAGAGCACTCGCTTTGCAAGCAAGACACCAGGGTTCAATTCCAGACAGGGCGAAACCTTGGGCAAGTTTCCTTACTCCACACAGAGCCTAATAATAATCCCTCCAAAACAAAACAATAATAAATTGGTCATTTTCAATCTACGACTGTTTGTGGGACATTGCTGTGCGCAATTGGCTGCCGCGTTTCGCCCACAAATATACGGTCAATTCACTTTACAGTATATTCTGTGAAGCGTTTTGAGATGTCTAGAAGACGTGAAAAGCGCTATATCAAATGCAAGGATTATTATTATTAATATCTCAATAACCTGCAGAATTTCCTGCATCAGTTTCATATTGCGCTAGTTCACTCTTGTTTAAAAGTTATGGTCTCAGTCTCAATAGTTATGTGTGACAAAACATTCCATCAGCATCCCTGGTTCTTTGTGTTCTTTAAGTTCATTATGAATGAACAATTTCTTTCTTTGGTCTTTTTAAAATGTACAAAATGTACTACAGTACTACTTGGGTTTGGCTCAGCTCTTCGGTGTTTACCGTAAAGTGATGTCACTGTGTGTTTGAAGGCAAAAATTGGCCTTCGATTTGCACATAACAATGTCCCACAATTAGCCATGAAGTAAAACCAATTTTATTTGGGGGATTTTTAACGCGGGCATGTGTTTGTGGGTGGGGGAAATGTTGGTTGGGAAATTCTTCACATTTCACAAAATAAAGCTGCATCTGACACCTGCCCATAAATCAATCCCCCAAAAACCTGCAGCTCCCTCCATGGCTCCAAGTAGATAAAACCACTGCCTCAAGTGCCAACTAAGACCTTGTGGAGTCCCCTTGTGGAGTCCTGTAGCTCAGTGGTTAGAGCACTCGCTTTGCAAGTGAGAGACCTGAGTTCAATTCCAGGCAGAGGGCGAAACCTTGGGCAAGTTTCCTTACTCCACACAGAGCCTAATAATAATCCTCCAAAACCAAAACAATAATAAATTGGTCATTTTCAATCTACGACTGTTTGTGGGACATTGCTGTGCGCAATTGGCTGCCGCGTTCGCCCACAAATATACAGTCAATTCACTTTACAGTGTGTTCTGTGAAGCGCTTTGGGACGTCCTCCCGACGTGAAAAGCGCTATATCAAATGCAAGGATTATTATTATTATTATAAGACAGAAGTCCCTTTCTTTTTGAAAATATATATCGATGTATTGAAGTATATTTGGGGTCCAACAGAAATCCCAAACAAACACAAGGCACAACATCTCCTGTTGCGTGTTGCCCTTTCCCCTCTGAGACAACCGCACTGTGCTCTTCAGGTGACATCCCATCACTGCACACGCGCTGTGCACAGGTGTGTGTGAGTGAGTGTGTGAGTGAGTGTGTGTTTGGGGGTATTGCCCGTGAAAAGGTTTAATGTCTTTGGGTCTGAGTTTGAGCTGCAGCAGCGCAGAGCTTTAGTGTGACAGGGACCCCCCACCCGGGTACCCCACCGCCCCCCGGGCCTCCCCCCCCCCCCGGGCCTCCACCCCCGAGCCTCCCCCCCCCCCCCGGCCTCCTCCCCCGAGCCTCCTCCCCCCCCCCGCCGGCCCTCCTCCCCCCCCCGGGCCTCCCCCCCCCCCCCGGCCTCCCCCCCCCCGCACCCCCCCCCCCCCCGGGCCCCCCCCCCCCCCCCTAGGCCCCCCCCCCCCCCCCGGCCCCCCCCCCCCCCCCGGGCCCCCCCCCGGCCCTCCCCCCCCCCCCGGCCCTCCCCCCCCCCCCCGGGCCCTCCTCCCCCCCACCGGGCATCCCCCCCCCCGGGCCTCTCCCCCCCCGGCCTCCCCCCCACCCCGGGCCTCTCCCCCCCGGGCCTCCCCCCCCCACCCGGCCTCTCCCCCACCCCGGGCCTCCCCCCCCCACCCCGGACGCCCCCCCCACCCCCGGGCCTCCCCCCCGGGCGGGAGGCCCGGCCCCGCCTCCTACACTGCCAGAGCTGCACTGACACAGGAAGGACGGTGAGTGCAGCAGCTCATCAGGGAAACTCCTACTATACACACACACACACACAGCCCTACACACACACACACACACACAGCCCTACACACACACACACACACACAGCCCTACACACACACACACACACACACAGCCCTACACACACACACACACACACCACAGCCCTACACACCACCACACCCCTACACCACCACACAGCACACACAGCCCTACACACACACACACACACACACACAGCCCTACACACACACACACAGCCCTACACACACACACACAGCCCTACACCACACCAGCACACACACACACACCACAGCCCTACACACACACACAACACACACACAGCCCTACACACACACACACCAGCCCTACACACACACAACACAGCCCTACACACACACACACACACCACACACAGCCCTACACACACACACACACACAGCCCTACAACACACACACACACAGCCCTACACAAACACCCTACACACACCACCACACACACACACACAGCCCTACACACACACACACACAGCCCTACACCACACACACACACACACCACACAGCCCTACACACACACACCACACAGCCCTACACACACACACACAGCCCTACACACACACACAGCCCTACACACACACACACAGCCCTACACACACACACACACACAGCCCTACACACACACACACAGCCCTACACACACACACAGCCCTACACACACACACACACACACACACAGCCCTACACACACACACACACCACAGCCCTACACACACAACACACACCACACACGCCCTACCACACACACACAGCCCTACACACACAACACACACAGCCCTACACACACACACACCAGCCCTACACACACACACACACACACACAGCCCTACACACACACACACACACACACAGCCCTACACACACACACCCAACACACACAGCCTACACACACAGCCCTACACACACACACCCTACACACACACCCACACACCAAACACACACACAGCCCACACACACACACACACAGCCCTACACACACACACACACACACAGCCCTGGTTACTGTTACACACACACACACACACACACACACCAACACCACACACCACAGCCCTACACACACACCACACACACACCCACACACACCCGCCCTACACCACACACACAGCCCTACACACACACACCACACACCAGCCCTACACACACACACACACAGCCCTACACACACACACACAGCCCTACACACACACACACACACACAGCCCTACACACACACACACACCACAGCCACACACACACACACCAGCCTACACACACACACACACACACAGCCCTACACACACAGCCCTACACACACACACACACAGCCCTACACACACACACACACAGCCCTACACACACACACACAGCCCTACACACACACACACACAGCCCTACACACCACACACAGCCCTACACACACACACACACACCCCACCCCACACACACACCACACACACACCTACCCCCACACCAACACACACACACACAGCCCTACACACACACACACACACACACACAGCCCTACACACACACACACACACACACAGCCCTACACACACACAACACACAGCCCTACACACACACACACACACACAGCCACACACACACAGCCCTACACACACACACACACACACACAGCCCTACACACACACACACACACACAGCCCTACACAACACACACACAGCCCTACACACACACACACACACACACAGCCCTACACACACACACACAGCCCTACACACCACACACAGCCCTACACACACACACCACAGCCCTACACACACCACACACACACACAGCCCTACACACACACACACACACAGCCCTACACACACACACACACACACACACAGCCCTACACACACACACACACAGCCCTACACACACACACACACACACACCCTCCACACACACACACCGCCCCACACACACACACACAACCCTACACACACACACACAACACACACAGCCCTACACCACACACACAGCCCTAACACACACACACAGCCCTAACACACACACACACACACACAGCCCTACACACACACACACCACACACGCCCTACACACACAACACAGCCCTACACACACACACACACACAGCCCACACACACACACAGCCCTACACACACACACACAGCCCTACACACACACACACACACAGCCCTACACACACACACACACAGCCCTACACACACACACACACACACAGCCCCAACACACACACACACACAGCCCTACACACACAACACACACACAGCCCCAACACACACACACACACACAGCCCAACACACACACACACACACACCACACAGCCCTACACAACACACACACACACAGCCCTACACACCACACCACACACGCCCTACACACACACACCACACACCACCCCCACACACCACACACACACACACACACACACACAGCCCTACACACACACACACACACACACACAGCCCTACACACACACACACCACAGCCCTACACACACACCCCCACACCCCACACACACACAGCCCTACTCCACACACACACACACCCTCGAGCCCCACACACACACACAAGCCCACACACACCCACACACACACACACCACACAGCCCTACACACACACACACACACACACCAGCCCTACACACCACACACACAGCCCCACACACACACACACAGCCCTACACACACACACCACAGCCCTACACACACACACACCCAACACCCTACACACACACACACAGCCCTACACACACACACAACAACACAGCCTACACACACACACAGCCCTACACACACACACACACACACACAGCCCTACACACACACACCACACACACACCTACACACACACACAGCCCTACACACACACACACACACACACAGCCCTACACACACACACACACACACCACACACAGCCCTACACACACACACACCCCACACACACAGCCTTACACACACACCCACACACACACAGCCCTACACCACACACACACAGCCCTACACCACACACCACACACGCCCTACACACACACACACACCACACACGCCCTACACACACACCACACACACAGCCCTACACACACACACACACACACACGCCCTACACACACACCACACACACACAGCCCTACACACACACACACCACACAGCCCACACACACACACACACACACAGCCCCACACACACACACACACACACAGCCCTACACACACACACACACACAGCCCTACACACACACACAGCCACACACAGCCCTACACACACACAGCCCTACACACACATACACACACCACACACCCAGCACACACACACACACACCACAGCCCTACACACACACACACACCCCTACACACACATACACACCACACACAGCCCTACACACACACACACACACAGCCCTACACACCACACACACCCACCACACACACAGCCCTACACCACACACACAGCCCTACACACACACACACACACACACAGCCCTACACACACACACACACACACACACAGCCCCACACACACACACACAGCCCTACACACACACACAGCCCTACACACACACAGCCCTACACACACACACACACAGCACAGCCCTACACACACACACACACACAGCCCTACACACACACAGCCCTACACACACACACACACAGCAAAGCCACACACACACAGTAAAGCCACACACACACACACAGCAAAGTTACACACACAAGGTCAGGAGAAAGACCATGATAGTTATTCTCCTGACTGCTCCTGATTGCTTTTATTTATTGGTGTAAGATTCCCTGCCCCGGTGCCAGGACGTCCTGGAAGCCAAGCCTTGCTGTTGTTTTTTGCCACAGGGGCCTTGCTGGTTGGAAGTTTAAGTTGTCTGGAGGAGGGAGTAGTTTGCTCTGGTCGCTGGTTAATGATGGATTCCCAGACTCTCTGCTGCCGCAGTGAGCAATGCTTGTTAGTGCAGGGTCACTGCGCAGAAGCTTGTCAAGGGCAGGGACAAGTGGGAGGTTTCTTTAAATGTAAATTTTTAATGCAATTTTTTGGGGCCAGCCAGGTGCCTGACGCATGCGGAAACCCATCACCCCGTTTAAGATTATAATAATAATCCTTGCATCTGCCACAGCATTGTTGAGACGTCTTAAAACAGCTTCACAGAATATAACATCAACAACACTTGCACTTGTGTAGTGCTCTCCACCCAGGGCAGCGGCTCCGAGCGCTTAACAGTGGCGGAACCTGACTCCAAGCCGGGTGGGGGGGGGGGACCATAAGGACGGTCGAAAAGGAAGGTCCTAAAGGTGTGATTTGAAAAGGGAGAGAGGAGGCAAGGCGGAGGGATTGAGGGAGAGTCTTTCAAAGTTTCAGTGCAGTGGTTGAAAATGCGACCTCCAGTGGTGAAGCAGACAGTGCGAAGGACAAGCACGAGGCCGGTGCCAGTCGAGTGGAGGCGCCGGGTGGTGGATCGTGGAGTCCTGTAGCTCAGTGGTTAGAGCACTCGCTTTACAAGTGAGAGACCTGAGTTCAATTCCAGGCACAGGGCGAAACCTTGGGCAAATTTCCTTTCTCCACACAGAGCCTAATAATAATCCCTCCAAAACCAAAACAATAATAAATTGGTCATTTTCAATCTACGACTGTTTGTGGGACATTGCTGTGCGCAATTGGCTGCCGCGTTCGCCCACAAATATACAGTCAATTCACTTTACAGTGTGTTCTGTGAAGCGCTTTGGGACGTCCTCCCGACGTGAAAAGCGCTATATCAAATGCAAGGATTATTATTATTATTATTATTGGGGAGTGAGGAAGTCAGACATGTAGGGAGGTGCCAGAAAGTGAAGTGAATTGAGCACAAGTGTCAGGATCTTGAAGTTGATCCGTTCGGTGATGGGGAGACAGTGGAGCCTGGGCCAGAACTGGTGAGATGTGGGTACGGAGTTTGGTCCGGTTCAGTATGCGGGCGTCGGAGTTCTG